ATTTACTCGGTCCGTCTTTTCCAAAGCTTCTGCTTTTATTCAGTACATGAGTCCCCAAGACACTCTCCCCAGACAGGAGGTTGGGGGATTGGTCTCCTATGTAAACCACCAGTAAGTAAGCTTCCCAATTCAGCAAGAGAAAGTTGCCTGACTTAGCTAATAGCTCAAATCACAACAGTAGAAAAACACCCAGGACACTTCCCTGGGCTTTCCCAGTGAGGCAGAATCCTACTGACTCACTTATTCAAGGTTGTTTATAAATCAGAATTTTCTTGGTGAACCTATTTCACTAAGAGATCTCCTTTACATTGCTGATATGACTGCACGCATCAGAGATCTTCAATTCCCTTTTTGTTTTTCCTGGAAATGCTACAAAGTCTGCTGCAAATGTTGGTGGGGTAAGTTTTATGAAGTCTAGTGCTGCTGCATCAGGATTTTCTGTAACAGTCGATGGAACTATTGCTGATCCCTCAACCAACTGACCAGAACCTCAGGAATGCATCTTTCAGGGGAATCTGTGCCTCTGCTGACATTACTTAACCATAAGTAGCTGGCCTTGCTTCTGCTACTCCAAGTCAAAAAGCAGAGACCATTCCACTTTAAGTCTCTTAACCAGGCTTACTACACACACACACTTGGATACAACAAGCTCGTACTATTAATTAAGATAATACAGTGCAAAGTTTTATTTAAACCATCTTCCCCCTAGCCTTTTGCACTTGTTCAGGCCAGGAGACAGATTCACAGAAATACACATTAGAACTAATTGCATAATATAGACTAGATCCTTACAGGACACTTATGCCCTGATATAGTTTATAATACATTGTTAAGTTACGTCTGTTTCTGAGTTCCTGTGATTTACTGGTGGTTAAGTAATTCATATTTACACAGTAGATGAGATCTTGTGAAGATAAGAGTTTCTCAAGACTGGTGGAGATAACACCACTAGTATGCTGCTTCTGGAATATCTAGTTATTTTCCTCTGTTAATTTGTTTTGGGGTTTGATATGTATCACACTCAGCTGTGTGATATCACATTGTACATAATACTGTGCATTTCCATACAATCATCCACAACTTTGTTTTCTTATGCTACACAAGTAAGATACTATAACTTGAACAACTGGAAATATCACAGTCCAACAGGATTCCCTAACATATCTGCAATACTTAAAGCAGTTGTTGCCTAGTTATTATGATAATCTTCTCAGATGGAAGATTATCCATTATACATATTGAGAAATTACATCACTCTTTACTGCTGACTTGGCAAGTTCTTGACTTTCTGTTCTGTGTTCTGTCTGCACTTAGAAACTGTTATTTGTCATTGCTTTTTCCCTGCATTTCTCCTTCTCTCATTCTTCTCTCTCACAACTTACATCTTTAGAGCTTTTATTAGATGCTGCGATTCCAGATAAAGAATTGCAGTACAATGAGAAATGTACGGGGACGATGTTGAAAGAGTGATCTGCTTGTATACTGCACTTCCAGTCTTGCTCTTAAGATGGTAGTCTAAACTTGAGAATGCAATCCATGCACTTTGTTTTTGCTCTTGCTGAAACAACAGGATTTCTCTTGTAACTTCTGAAGTGGTAATTTTTAAGAGCATATATTTATAGTGATTTTATTTATGAATTTGATAAAAAAATTGAAAATGTGATTTCGTTTGTAAAGTTTGAGCATATATGTGATTCAGAGAGAATATATGAAACAAGACAGGGTAAATAAGTGGAAGAAAGAGAGCTTCTGAACCAACTTGACAGCCTGGTGGCTCTGGCAAAACAGGTAAATCTTTGTGTAGAAATTTGTCCAGGCAGAAGGGTTGGGGCAATACTTATCTCTGACCTAGACAACTTGGATTGTCTGTATGCCAGCCAAGATGACTTGGCTACTCAATGGCTGTACAGTGCTCTGGATGTCTTAAGCATCTAATTATGCTACTCAATTTATCTACCAGTTGCTTAAAATCTGGGGCCAAATTTGGAAGGCAAATGTAGAAGAGAATTTCAAGTCATCATAATAAATGAGTTGACTTCCCTTTCTTTCCTTTCTCAACAAAAGCCACTTTGTGTAAGTTTTCCTGATACTACTTGTTACATAATCTTCTGTGCTTAATGGAAGCATTTAAAATCTTTTCAGAAAATCAAAATGGGGGACATCTACCATGTCTAACTAATTTTGTTGCTCCTTTGTTTTCAATAGGTTCCCTTACTTTTACAATGCCTTCTATCTTTTCTGTTTCCTGCTACTCAGAGTTCACATTCCTATGGATTCTGTGAAAGACTAGGATTACACTTACATCAGTATCACCCAGCTCTTGCAATTTTTCCTCCTCTAAAGACACTGTAAGAGAAAAACAGAAAGATTAAAAAAAATAAAAAAGGATTCCCACCCTGATTTGTCACTAGATAAGCACATTGGATTTAATTCTACATACCTTCAGCACTCAAAATTTCCAGGAAGGTTAACAGGAGTTTTGTAAGAACATGGAATGTAAGGGTCAGGAACATTCAGAAGGAAAGGAATCTAGGTACTGTGCAAATTACGTCTGTCTCTACATTAGCACTGAAATTGCTTTTATAGTAGGCCAGTTTTGATTTATTTTTAAAAGAAAGAAGCAAATGAAAAGATGGCTGAGATGAAAATAAAACTGGAGACTATATGAAAAATTTACCTGTGGTCTTCTTCCATAATTTTCCTGTAACAATTTTTCCTTTTCAAGTATGTTGCTGGAAAATGTTAGCTTAAGTTTCAGGTTCACCAGAAGTCAGTTCATTCATTAGACACTGCAGTGTGAGGAACACATTTGACCAGGTTGTGTTTTGCAATTTCTTCATGCTTACGGTACTACTGATGGACTATAGATATACGAGGGAATTTGTGGGTAAGGAGATTTTGACATCATCTACCATGTTTGTTAGGTAGTGCCAAGCTGGAATCAGGTCAGTCAGAATCAGTCCAAGCCAGAAACGAAGTCAAGACATACACTTGCAAAGTGCATCAATGACAGCCAAGATAAAGACACTATTTGAGGTAGGAGCTTGGAATAAGAAACAAGTAGAACTAGAATAAGGTCAGGAGCTGAAGGGCTAGAAACCAGTCACAGCATGACTCAGGAGCTGTGGAAAAGGATTCAAAGAGCTAAAAGCAGCTACAGGTGTGTGGAAAACCACATACACCAAAACGATACAGACTTACAATCCACCCCTCAACTACGAGGCCTTATCAAGTCCTTAGTTTTTGAAAAAAACTATTTATAGCCTCCTACTAGAATAAAAGCCCAGCCGTGCTTAACAGGTATGATCTGCTAAAGAAGTTGTGGTCCATATCATATGCTTACATATTTCATTCATCTTTCATCTCCATATTCTATTACCATGGAAAATGACCTCTATGATGAATTACAAGAAAACATCTCTTAGACTTTATGTTCATACAAGTGGATAAAAGAAAACTATTGGGTCAGCTTTACTGCACTCTGAAGCTATAATGAGGGCTCTAAAGAGACGCCCACGACAATGTGGTGAGTCCACCTGAGACGCTGGTTTACAGTTGTTTGAAATGTCTGGCTGCTGCAGCTGTTGCTTCCATGGCTAGCTGAGAACACCCTCCTCAACCTGCTGTCTGACTGTTACTCATTTCTTATACCTCAGAGCTGCTGTTGGTGTGGCAGTGCTGCGCAGGGAAGGGAGGAATGGGTTGCTGCTTGCTTGGCTTGCTGATACCAGTCTTCTAGGGTTTGTACTGCTTGGTACAAGCAGTAGAAAGTATTCTGCGCTTGGGATTAAAGGAGATTGTGTTTGTCAATCACAGGTACTTAACACTTCAATGCCTAAATATCTTTCTCAGCTTTGAGGGGAGTTGCTTCTCCCACGCCCCCCCTCACAGTGCTAGGATATAACAACATCAGTTATTAAAATTGTTAAAGAAAACCCTCATATATTGTTAAAAACACAATATATGCTCAAAACACCTGGTTGGTATAAACTCTAACCTCTCAGTGTAGCAAGTAATACATTGTTTCCCATTATGACAAATTAACTTGACACTTTCTCCTAGAACTGGTCAATTCATCGAATCTTGCATTTTTGAATATGATTTCTTGAGTTTGCCTTAAAACACTTTTTTTTCTGTGTGGCAATTTATGTATACATCATGAGTTCACAGAAGTTTGGATATTGATCCTGGTTTGGTATGTCTAAGTAACCTCTTAACAAATCAGGAATTTCAAAGACATGACTCAGCCCTATTGCTTTATACACTTTTCTCCCTTACCTACTGATTCTGCCAGATCCAGGCATCCTGAACAGAAGTCTTTTCTGCTACAACAGGAATAAAAAGAAAGAGATATTTCTGTTGATTCAAGATGCAAAATTACTATGACAGATCTTTAGGGAAAAGATTAGAAACTAGGAGCTTTTCCCTTTTTTCTTTTCTTTTCTTTTCTTTTCTTTTCTTTTCTTTTCTTTTCTTTTCTTTTCTTTTCTTTTCTTTTCTTTTCTCTTTTCTTTTCTTTTCTTTTCTTTTCTTTTCTTTTCTTTTCTTTTCTTTTCTTTTCTTTTCTTTCTCTTTTTCTTTTTTTCTCCTACATAGCTTCCAGCTTCTTCACAAGAAAAAGGTTGTCTCCTCTCTTCATTTTGATAGTGGCTTTACTGCTTTGCACCCTCCCCCCAGTTATGTTTTTCTGTTCCAAAAACTAGTTTTTGTTACATAAAAATTTTCATCCCTTTCCTGAATAAGATTTTTCTGGAAGAAATGTGAAGACATAATGAGATATTTTAGAACATTGAAGGAAAATGAAATATGCAAAATTTATGTATTAATCTACATAAACTCTTCCAATTTGTAGAGTAAAGTGATTTTGTTTTACATGGAGAAGGTGGAGTCTGTAATGATAATTTCTTTAATGGGATTTGCAGACAGCTGAGGTGGGAGGTGTGTCCTCCTCTATACTACCTTCCCAGAGTGCCCTGTCTTTTAGGGCACGTTCCCACATGTTCACTCACCTTAAGGGTGTTTTGCCTGAGTTGTTCAGCTGTCTGTTTCAAAATTGCTTACATGTCGCTTTCCAGAGGAATTCAGAGATACAAAAAGAGGATGATTGCTTCTAAATTCTAGACTTCAAAATCAAAATACTAGAAGCCTAGGACTTTGATGCTACATGAATTCTTCAGTGCTGTACAGGGTCTTTTTGAGCAGTAGGCTGCTGGTGAGCTTCTTCTAAATCAGACACACCTTTGGGTTGGGCTATTTTGGAAACTAAGTAATTGATGAGGTTCAAGGTATGGTCTGCTAGGAACAAGTGATTTTATTTTGTGTTTTTACATGTACTTTGATCAGCTGATGCAGTTGACAGACAGTCTCCTCTGTAAGTAAGCGACTAGGGTTGGAGGAGTGGTGACCTGTAGTGAGCCTTTCTTGACTTTTTTCTAAGTGGGCATTGCTGGCTTTCAGGCAGCTAGGCAACAGAGGAAAAGGGACCTGATATGGGGGTACCTTTATTTGGGGAGAACAATCCCTTCTACTCCCGGATCTGGAATGGACTAAGTCAGAAGTTGCAAGGCAAAAAATCCTGGGATAAACATCTGGATGAAATCTACTTACTCCAGCAGAAAAGGTACAGTGTATTTTAGCCTTCTTGTCTTCCCTTTCTGCTGCTGCTCTCTCCCTGTAGCTGATACTCACCATTTCCCCTTAGGCTTTTCTGCCAGCAGATAAACTTTAAACAACCCTGGAGCACTTTTCTCTATCAGATTTCTCCTTTCAAGGTGGAATGCTTCTGGAGTGCCAATCTTATCTGCTTTCACAGGTAGATTTACTAGGTCGAAATTAAATTACCAAGTGCAGGACTTCAGTCACAAATTAATACTGTATACTCTTGTTTTTCCTGCTTCATTGGTAAAGCTCACCAGAAAATTCATGAAGGTTTGTTTTTAACTATTACTATTCTCATTATTATTATCATTACCATTATTATTATTATTAAGACTGTGTGTGATGTATATGCTACAGTCAGTTGAAATAGCAGAGAGTTTTTTTGTGAGAATTCTGCTTTCTGTGTCTTTAAATGTTGCCCTTACTGTGGGATAGAGCAGACCTAATATTGTCCAACATTCTGGTGGTCAGTCACCTCCTTAGTTGGACTGCTGTTTCTCACCCCTGTGACATTGGTGTCAACATGTACAGTGACTCCTTTCAGAGCTTGTTATCCAGAAGATTGCTTGTGTCTTCCCATGTGAGTACTGAATCAAGGGTATTTTTCACTGCTGTGCAGAGTTGCTCCCTCCACCCACAGAAATGGAGGACTGTTCATGGAAATACAGCTGTATCTGGTTTTCATTGTTCCCTGTCATTTCTGCATGCACAAATGCTGCATTACTCAAATAACAAATTGCTTCCAGTTGCTTATAAAATCTTTTTTTCCTTCTGTACAAAACTCTGAACATCTATGGGGGCAAAAAGATATTTATCTATGCATATGTATATGTATACACACATATATGAATAGAAATAAGCAGGATAGCAACTTAAAAGGGACAAAGGTACGTGTTCGTCTGTAGGGAAAGAACTTAGATATATCATCATTTAACTTCTGACCAAGTAAAAAAGCATGTTCAAGTTTGCTTCAGAGCAATAGGACTTAAACACACTTAAAATGGGAGGGGCAAAGGGAACAATAGTATTTCCATGGAATGCTGAAGTGTTTACACTCATGAAAACCATCACAAGTAACTGAAAAATAAGTTCTCAGCAGATTCTGTAATATCCAAATGAGTACAAAACAGAAGTCTAAATATATTTAAAGTATTAAATCAATTATATTATTATATTAGTTCCATACTAACACTTAATATCAATTAATAATAAATATTGGTAATATAAAAATATTTTGTAGTTATGACATTATCTTCACATTTTTAAGTCAAAGTGATGTGGAAGGAAGATGTGCTGATCTCTATCTAACCTCCCACTTGAAGCTGAACTACTGCCAACAACAGATCGTATTGCTTAAGTCATGTTTAGCTCAGTCTTGAAAGCCTCCTAGGCCAGAGATTCTACTGTAGCTCCAGGTACCTGTTATGGTGTTGTAGTATCCTCCTAGAGAAAAAGGATTTTTTCCCAAATATTCAGCTTGAACCTCCAAAATCATAACTTGATGCTCTAGTCCCTTTTTTATTGTTGGCAATTACCAAGAAGGGTTTGGCCCCTTCCATTTTGGTGCTCCCTTTCACATAGGCTACTGTTAGATTGCCATTCGACCCTCTCTTTGCTCATTACTCCTCACTAGTCATGTGCTGCACAGTCCCATGAACATATTGTGTGTTGCTACTGATAGAGGAAAACAGAAAAACCTGTAAGGAATATAAACTCGTCTTCATAAACTTGTCTTAAATCACTATAGTGCAATCCCAGTGGTCCCCATAGTTCCCTTTCCTGTGTTTTTGTTTTTATAAAGATCTGTGTAAGAACACATGTAATGCATACAATATCACTGTCTGTGAAATCAGGGTTGTATGGGGACACAGTTGTTCTTTTTCCATTCTAGGTCTATATGTTTCCCACAACTTACAACTAACACAAATAAGTTTTCTGCTATTTGGTCAGAAATTACGTGGTGCCAATGGAAACTCTTTTCCTAAAAAGGGACAGGACGAATTCTTCCTCTTATTATCCTACTCTTCCCTTCTTGTCCCCAGAGATGCTCAGTGTGAGGAGAATGAAAATGAACATTTTGCAGAGGACTTAATTCAGTTTTATTGCTTTTGCATTTTTGGTTATGTACAGATAGAAAAATACAACAGGAAGACCTTGTATGGTGATTTGTGTATGAGAACTACTCTTTCAAAACCTCTGCTTTTGTGGAAAAACTGTTGAACACCAAGAGGGCTTTTGCTACATCCTGTCGTTTTGTGGTGCAGAACTGCAGTGTTGTGGCTTCAGTTTGAGTTCTTAGTCTTAATAGTGCTGGAACACATAGAGCAATTAGCAGAGATTAAATTCTACTATTGTTTTATTGAAAGCCAGTGGTAAATGTGTTATTATTTAACTGATATTCTCTCTGTTTGCACACAGAAAGTCTGCAAGAGAAGAACAGTGTTTATTTCTGTCCTACAACTGGTGATAATAATACCTGAAGGCTAACTGTTTTGGTAGTTGTCACCCTCACTGGAATGGCTGTTCATTCTCTTTCTTCATGTGAAACAATTCTTTGAATCTTATTAGGAGTAGATCTGAGCATTTTCCTCAGAGAGATATTAATACTGCAATGTATAACATTTCCCAAAGGAAAAACCAGGGTTGGGAAATGTGATACAGTCTCCTAATATTAAAGAAGAGTTTGAGTTTATTTGGCCTTCATCTACTGGTTTCTTTCTGTTGAAGACTCTCCTTTTTTAACAGCCTGTAGCTCAGTGTGGAATCCCAGGGACAGTGGTCACATCTCCTATGTCCTTTCTAGAATTATCTTTGGAAGCCAACTCTGGGATCTATATAACCTAGAGCATATAAGCATAAATCCTCAACAAAATTCATAATGATTGGAAACAAAGAAATAAATACTTATGAAATTTTGGGCCTAGTAGAGGTGAAGAATCACATGCCTGTCACAGTGTAATAGATCTTCTGGAAATTATGAGAACCATTGTTTTATTTTTTTTTTTAGTCCAGGGCAAGAGGTTCTAAGGAAATGTGAACAAATTCCTTCTACCATGTAATTTTAGAAAATCCATCATATGAGAATTGCACTATTCATAAAAAATAACTAATAAATAAAATTATGTTATATTTTCTTTCTACTATTTCTTCTGCCTATAACTCTGATAAATAATCTCTCCTCTCTGTGTTTCTTCTCTCTCACAGCTGCTGCTTAGGGATTAGTGGCCTTCATGGGGTGCTCTGAGGCTTAGATTTTCTAATGACAATAAAATGGTTAACTTGTGTGGTACATTTGAAAAAAAACCAAAACCAAACCCAAACCACTCAAAATATTTTTACATATTAATTAAGTATAGAAATTTGTGCTATGAGAAATAATACACTAGAGGTTCTTGGAATAATTTGCATAACTTGCAGAGATGGTCATTCCAAAGATGCCACAATACAAACTTTAAATCCCCTTTACTTTCCAAATTTTTTAGCCTCACAGACATATTAGCAAGCTGCTTTGCTTACCCTGAAAACAAACATGTCACAGATAAAAAAGTAGCTTAGTCTAATGCTAGTAAACTGAGTTGCTTAAGAGTTGTACAGGGACCCAGAGATCCTTCAGCTTCTAGACGAATCTTTCTTAACTTGGTAGTGAATGAGATGTCACCATAGATTTACTGTTCAGTTGTATAAACAACATTACTGAGTTTTCAGCCCACAATTAACATAGAATTGTCCTGTCTTAAAATCTGCTATGCCTGTCAGTATTAATCAGATCCTTTGCTGCCAAAGGTGACGGTGAAATAAAATTGGCAGCTTCCAGTTCCACCACTTCATTTATAATATGTTTCAATAACAGTGCTTCTGAGTAGTCAAGATGCAAAGAACAATCTATTGGAAACTCCCTCACTGGATGTAAAATAAAGTCAAAAGCAACAGTGACAGCATTTCTGGTCTTTTCTTTGGCTGTTACAACTTCATCCTAATGGAAGCTTTGAGCCTAATAATGGAAAACAAGCCTCCTTAATTTCACAGATGTAAAGGTCTGTCAGAACTCACGTTTCCCCAGCAATGCACAGACATACACACATCCCACCTCAGTGCCTAAGACATGGTTCAGGCTCATAGGTTTAGGAAGTTATTTGACTTCTTAAACTTGGCTATAGGTTTCCTTGTGAAGAAGTAAACGTGAAATTTGTGCCCAGAGGAAAAAAAAATCCATCCCAAACTACAAAGCTGTTAGAGAAAATGATTAGACATAGGAACATAACATATAATAAAACTGCAAGAAAATCTGTATTGAAGTGGGCTAGAAGTTTTGATGCAGAATGCATCAAAAGATGCTTCAGAGATTACAAATGCTTCAGAGAACATTTTTTTTAATGACTTAGTGATAATAAATAACAACTAAAACATTCTGAACTGTTAATCCAGTTCTAGCATGAGAATGGTCTCAGACGCAGAATTAGAAAAAAAAAAGAAAAGAAGTTAACACAAGGAGAATGCCCTGCTGGAAACGACTGACCAAGATTTCTACTGCTTAGTGTGGTAGATAGTTAAATATCTGAAGGGATAAGAATTCCCTATCAGTTTCTTGTCTAGTATCATTGGCAATTATTAACCTGTTTAATTTATTTCCAGAGAATGTCTGTTTACTCTCAGCTGAAAGGTCTTTGACAGACACTGGCTGTTAATTTGCTGAGTCTTGCTGTTAGTGCTGAAGAAATGTGCTGACCCTGTTGATTGTCCAAGCCCCTGTTATCTGTCTTCTTTTCACTTCATGCAATTGCTTCCTAACTCATTCTTCGCCATCTTGCGAGATTATTGCTTGGATCCCTCTCACCTGGTTAGCTTCCTCTGTGCTCTCCTCTGCTCTCCTGAAGTCTTCCACATATTTACATGCACATGCTAGTAGAAGGAAGGGAGATGATGAATCTCCTCTGGCAATTTCATGATGCATTGTTGAACACTGATATTTTGAGCAGCACAACAGGGAAAGAAGAGAAAGCTAAAATAATATCCTGCTGATGAATTTATAACTTAGATAGAAATAATTGCTTTAGAACCTCAGTAACTGACTATCTATGGGGATAAAGCATGAAGACAGAAGCAAACTTGAACTAGAGCAAGCAATAGGAAAATTCTATACAGTGAGTGACTGAAGGTTTAGAATCTGAGAAGGGAAGAACAGACAGAGATGCTTCATTGCCCCTCTGATGAGTTCAGTTTTGAGATAGAAACTTACAATTGGTTGTTGTCCGGACAGTTCACATTTTTAATATGTTTCCTTGTTTTAAAAGAATAACCATATAAATCCCAATTCTTTTCATAACAGAGTTAAGACTTATGGACTAGTCCTTGCATTTTCTATCTCTCCATAAGTCTAATGAGCAGGATGCACTCCAAAAGAAGTGCTTAAGAAGCTGTAAACCCAAAAGGGTACATATTACCAGCAGAAAGTGCTCATGAAATCTTTAACCTTGTTTAAAACTGTATTACAGTACTCCCTCAGTCAGAATCTGACCTACATTATATCTTCTCTTTGTTTCACAATGGATTTGCAGGTGTTCCTGATTTTGTTCTCACCTATATTGGAAAAACACTTCCTGAGCACATAATTGTATAATCCATGAAGAAAACTCAACGATAGTAACACATGATCAAGGCTTACTAAGTACCTCAACATAGATACATTCCTTAGCTCAGTAAGAAGAACCCAGGAACACATCCAGGTGGATACTGCTGTGGTTTTCGTTGCCCATCAGAACTACTGGTTTGCCTTGTAACTGTGCTTATCCTAAACTGATCCTGTAAGACAACATCCATACTGCCTAACGTTACAAACCTAACTTATCTGGCTAAATTAGGAGCTCAGTATCTATTGATTCCATACCTGCTGAAGGGAACGAACAGGATTAGAACAGGAGTTTAACTAAGATGTGCTGAATTATCTTCTCAAGGTGTCTAGATATGTCTCTGCTGAATAATTCTCTGAAAGCCACCCTCTCCATCCAGTGACATGATGGTTCTTTATGGAAACTAAGCATCTACTGTAGGCAGCTCTGTTAAGAGACTAAGTTACAGATTTTGCTGTCTGCTGCTTTGACACACAGGAAGTCAAGTTGTAAAATGTAAAGTTCATGCTGCATTTGATCAGTCAGGAAGAAAGTTGGTTAAATATACAGAAATTAAATAACTGAAAATGTTTTGAAGGTTCTAAATTCAGGTGACTTTGTGTAATTTTTTATATTAGTGAATTTGCTTCACCTAGTTTTTGACATTTATATGCTCAGTACATTGCTTTAATATATTAAAAATTAGTTGATAATTAGAATGGTATGTTTTAAATGGGAGTAAAATGTTTCCCCAATTATGGGACAGAAAATTAAATGAGAGTAAAAGCATATGCTATAAATATGTAACTCAAGAACCTTTGAGACATTACAGGCAGTGTGCCATGACATTTACTAACATTTCTGCGTTCTTCTTCTGGCTTGATCTTTGGCCTGAGAACTCTGGCTTTTTAAACCCAGTTGGAGGTTGCTACAGTAAGAAGAAATGTTTGACAATTTTGCTCTCGGTTTCCAAAAGAGTATAGTATTTATTAAGCGTCTTCTTTGTAGCAGTATTTTAATTTAATTAGTTGTTTACAAAGACTTTGGTAATTTTTGTGAGAAAGGTATTGTGTTTGTGTCCTCCTACATTGTCTCTTGCCCAATCCTTCCTCCTCTGTGAGGTCATTTGAGGGATAAAGGCCTACCCAGTAAAGCATCAACATATTAATTGTAGCTTTGTTTATACTATTGAAACCCCACCTCTTTTCCACTTCCTGCCTCTGAAAGTTACATTTTCCAGCAACACAGAGTCTTTTTCAGCCAAAATAGTGGCAGAGGTGGCAAGCTGACTTCACTAATACTTGATCTTACGACTTCTCCTCAGAGTGCCTCTTTATTTAATTCCTATTTGTCTGATCCTAGATGCAATCTTCTCATCAAATCATCTTGTCATTAGCTACTAATGCACTGACGCATGAGTAAGCTATAGAAGGAATACTTCCTTAAGCAGCAAGGCTAAGAGTTTGGAGGACACAAAAATATCTCAGAATGGCTGCCTAATTTGTTGAGGATGGTTCTTTATATTTTATTCTCCTCTTCAGAGTTTTTCTAGTCTACTTTCTAGAGCGTTTGGTGTCAGGAAATGCTCCTTTTGTGGAATGATAAATATAATAAACCAATGATATATCAGTTATGCTTTTATTACTTGTAGCCTGTGCCCATTAATATACACTACTTTAAATGATTCCTATTTATCTGTGTAATTCTGGTACTTCTCTTTGTTTTGCTTTATCTCCCAAGTTTTCTCCACTGTGTACACTGTCTTTCCACTATAAAGGAGTGCAGAACTCTCACATTTCAAGTGGATTAAATCCAGAGATAATGGCACATAAAAAAAAAAAAATGCTTCAGGATTTCATTATTCATAACAGAATAATTTAAAGCAAGAAATATATATTCCTGTAAGCCACAGAAGTTATGTTGCCTGTTTTCTTATCATTTTATTGTTAAATTTTCCTATACTTAAAACGCACAAATAGTAAGAAAACATTTTTTGCAATGGGCCATTTATATTCTCTCTGTCTCTGATGTGAATTTTCTTGTAGTTTATAGTAGAGTTATATTCCTTGGTAATGTATTCTCACATCAGTGTTATCATGTAATGCAAAAGACCTATTGCTTTATAGGGTTTATTTACCCTATAAACCCTATCCCCAAAATCTTGTAACTAAATAATACCAGCATATACAGAACATCACAAGGAGAAAGCATTGACTGTGTCTTTAGATTTGACCAACATACTTGTCCCATGTACTTTTTTTAGGGTGTGTGTGTTTAACACTCAGACTATTGGCAGTTGTTACACTATAGTAAAAACACAGACTGAGTCTGGTAGAAAAATGAGGGCTGGTGTTCTTCGTATCAGCTTGAATTTTTTTATTATTCTACTGTAATCCTTAGACATCCCTGCATCACACATTACAGCTTGACCTAAGCCATGCTAGAAAATCAAGAACAAATTAAACATCTATACTACAATAAAGCAGAGGTGAGAGAAAAAGCTCAAAATTTGCATTTGAACAGAGATCTGGAACTGAACTTTTCCCGTTTGGAAAGAGGAATCTCTTTCTATTTCATATTGAAAATTCATGAGCCATAAACTGTTTGTTTGAATTTGGAGGTCTTTCCTCCCCTTAAATCTTTAGCTCCTGAACTTGGGATACTTAAAATTCTTTTTTTTGTATAAAACCGAAAAAGCAAAAAACCCTACCCCAAAACATTTTCTTTATGAATTAAAAGATAAACCTGAAGATATTGAAGGATAACAGAAATATTTACCCCAAATTAGGAGATTCTGTTCTAATTTTCTGTGATTTTTTGGTAGCCAACTCATAGTTTTGAAAACTGGCAGAGATTATTTGGATGCTGAGCAAGCATACATTGTAGGTAACTCTTTTCAGGTGCTTATACAAATTGATAAGAACAACACCCAAGCCTTCTCTTCTCCAGGCTAAACAGTTACAGTTCTCTTAGTCTTTCCTCATATGAGTGATGCTCTAGTCCCATAATCATCTTTGTGGCCTTTTGTTAAACTCTCTCCAGTAGCTCCAGTAGCTTTTTGTGCTGAAGATCCTAGGACCTGGACACAGGACTCTAAGGATGGCCTTTCCAGAGCTGAGTAGAGGGGGAGGATCACCTCCCTTGACCTGTTGTTTACTTACAAAGATCTTGCTGTAGTGAAGTTTGGTGGCTGTACTTGTAAATTCTTCATCAGCCCCGAAGGATCTACTCAGACAACTCAGATCCTCAAGGAAGATTCAAGGACATGCTTCAACTATAAGTGAACCACTCATGACATGCATAATTGCAGTTCTCAACATTTTCCTCAATTCTTTCAGCATCAGAGAAAAAAGTAGCTAATAGCTAAGCTGTCAAATTTTTCTTCATGACTTTGTATAACGAGGAACTACATTTCAGAGTTCATTCTTTTAATTATATCATAGGAAGCATTGCTACAACACAAATGACAATTTTGTTTGTACCTTTCTATCCCTTATGGGAGCAATTCAGATTACTTTTTTAATTTATTGTGCTGCATGAAATAACAACTGGCCTTTTCTGTCTCCTGAGATAACTAGTCTACCGGCAGGAGGTGCATAAATGACTCACCATTCACTATCTTCTATGCCTCAAAATGTGGGCTATACAAACCAGAAACATTTTGATTATTCTTTTCTCCTATCTTTCCCTCTGCTGCCACCATATGGTTCAGCCTCAGTAAGCCAAGAGACGAAGATCTCACCAGGTTTTTAGAATTGCACTGCTCTGCTTTTGCCTGTTCTTTCTTTGTGCATTGAAAGAACATCTCAGACAGTAGATGTGCATTTTTCAGTGAAAATGTTCAAGAAAATACTGTCTCGAGCAAAGGCCATGCTAGCTCTGGAAAGAGGCACCATGTCTTTGATTTTGTTTCTTAAGAGCCTCTTTTTCTTGACTGCAGGATCTGGGAATCCCCACTCCTCCAGGCTGCCAAAGAGAATGACCTTGCAGCCATTAGGAAACTTCTCACTGATGGAACATGCGATGTCTATCAGAGAGGTAATTCAGATTATTTGTGAAAAATGGTTTTCTGTGGAAGGCAAGAGCTCCCTACAATGAGTAGTTTGTTATTTTGCTAAAACCTTTGCATTAGCAGCCTGTGTCTGAAGCTTTGCAACAAACTGAGTTTTCTGACTTAATGTGCTCATTCACTTCAGGCCTGAGATCTGCCTGAATCAGGTACAAATACCTGATGTTTCTGCTCAGCTGTCAGATTTTGGTGAAGGACAGAGACTGTGCAATTATGTGGCTGTACCAAGCAGTACTCAAGGGAGGACCTAGCACTCCCATAATTCTCCACCTCAATGAATTTATTTCTGCATTTGTCCCATACAGTTGAATGTCTAGATGACTCACATGCTTCTCCTACTGTTTCTAGGTGCAGTGGGGGAGACTGCCCTTCATGTAGCTGCCTTGTATGATAACTTGGAGGTGGCAGTGGCTCTGATGGAAGCAGCTCCTGAGCTTGTCAATGAGAGGATGACATCAGAGCTCTATGAAGGTAACATCGCTGGGAATGAGGATGGACAGGATTCTCTGCAGGGGAAGAGAGGAAGTACTACCTGTACATTTAGGAAATTGGCTTATACTGTTCCGGGTTCAATGTATTGCTAAACTGTTACATAGCAAAGCCAACATACAAATGGAAGGTGGAGTTATATTAAATGCAAGTGCACACATGTGCAAACATGCAAAGGCCTTAACCACAGGTGGACCTGTTGGCTATTGTGAGATTGCAAGATTATGTATAGTTTGCTTCCCAGAAGAGTGTGGCATGTCTTGTTTTTCCATGGAAAAAAATCTAGAAGGTGCATCCTGTTGAGGTTTTTTGGCAGGTTGTAAAGTCAATTTTCATGATTTCATAAAAAGATTTAAGTAGAATGGGACCTCTGGAAAATCTGTCATACAACCCTCTGCACCCAACAGAGATAACTTCAAAGCTAATTCCTATAGTTGCTGTGGATGCAGTCCCAAAATCTTCCATTTACCATGACTGACATGTGAACTGTAGGCTACTGATCAGCCTGAAGTTACTTTCTTGGAAGACAAGGTTTTATTTCTGTGTCTTACAGGGCAGACAGCTCTCCATATTGCAGCAGCGAACCAGAACATCACTTTGGTGAAGGCTTTGCTTAAGAGAGGAGCCGATGCCAGCACAGCACAGGCCACTGGGCACTTCTTCAGGCGCAGCTCCCAGAGCCTTTTCTATTTTGGTACAACCTTAACTTCTCCCCTTGTTGCTATAGGAGGAAACCAGCAGAGTGGTGAGGGGGTGTGAGGGAGGCTTACTTTAGTCCCCATCTAAACTGGGTAAGCAGAGGGTCCTATCTCCAAGTGTCATCAGACACACACTTTTTATCAGACAGTAAGACTTCATCTGAGTATGTAAATGTTACATAAATATCAATAATACACATTTTATATGTTTGCATGTATAAAAAAATATATTGTATAAAAATTGTAATTTAATATCTTCCTAGCAGCATATATTGCGAATTATTTGTCAACCTTCTTATGGGGGTAAACTCATGAAAAGAATACTTCATTCTTTTAGTGTTGTGTGGGGCAGCTCTTCTTTTCCTTTCTGAGTAGGATGAGGAGTGGTGCAGAAAATTTACAGGTTACCTAAAGTAATTCTTCCTTTCATATCCTCTGGCTTCATAGCATGGATAATTTTCCCTCAGCATGCTTCTACCTCTCCTACCTCCTGGGTTCTTAATGTTGTTTCTCCCCATTCCTTTCATTGCAGGAGAGCATGTTTTATCATTTGCTGCCTGTGTGGGAAATGAGGAAATTGTACAGTTGCTCATTGAAAATGGAGCTGACATCAGAGCTCAAGATTCTCTGGGTATGTACTCTGGGGCATATAGAGAATCTGGACATTTTAATTCAGACTCTGTCGTTTGTGTACTCAAATATTTTTCTCTCACTACAAGCAAATGTGGAATGAGGGATGTGAGGAAAATAAAAGCCACCCGTCAATTCTCAGTCTTTGCACAGGGCTGGGCTATTCCACATAATTTATCTGGTCTGCTTTCTTCATAGGTAACACTGTTCTTCACATCCTGGTTCTCCAGCCTAATAAGACGTTTGCCTGCCACATGTACAGCCTGATTCTTTCCTATGACAGGAACAAAGAGGGATCAGGGTCACTGGAACTGATCCCTAACAATGAGGGTCTTACTCCATTCAAACTGGCCGGAGTTGAAGGCAACACTGTGGTGAGTTTGTGTGACACTGGTACCTCCATACAAAAGATCAATGGAGAACTTGAAATAACATCGTTCAGACCAAGGGAGTTTGTGCATGTTCTTAGTGGGTAGAAGATCGTAACAAGTACTTTTTTTTTTTTGCTAAAAGTGCCATGTACGACCAGAAGACCCTTTATAAAAAATTTCTTTATCTTAAAATAGATATTTTTTACCCAATTTTTGAAGCATTTGAATTAAACAGGTATTAACAGAAAGATTCACCCCAAGTAATGTTTTGAAAGTCTCACTGAAATTGTTGTCTTTGTTGTCTAGAGTTCATAACCCTAAATGTGACATGCGGGAAATTTCTCTGGGTATACACAGGCATTTATTCACAGAAAAAACCTTATCATTTTAGGCAAAATCTCATCCTTCCCCTCAACAAAAAGACAAATGTGGTTAGTATTTCTTCTGTAGATCCAGTAAGGACAGGATCATTTCCCTTGTCATACCTCTTTTCTGAAAACTTGTAGAAGAGTATAAAAGAATTGTGTTTCTAATCAATATCTGAAATCTATTGTTAGGATGTATGACTGTGTCAAATAACTCTAGCAGTTTGATTAGAATTTAGAGTAAAAACCACTCATCTTTTACCTCAAACATGAGCTAATAACCAAATAGGAATCAAAAAAGTTCTTCCACTTAATCTACTGTGATTGAGAGATATGAGGACCACAGCAAGTACCAAGTTCAAGAAAAAGTATGTCATAATTAAGGGTTTTTAACAACTTTATTTGTTCTCATTGCCAATACACTCATTGCAAATGCATATACAGGAAAGATTCTGATATCCTTGGCCCTCTTCTTGTCTCCTCAGATGTTTCAATACCTTATGCAGAAGAGGAAGCAGAATCTCTGGTCTTTTGGCCCCTTGACCACTGTGCTCTATGATATCACAGAGATTGACTCCTGGGCTGAAGATCAGTCCTTCCTTGAGCTCATTGTATCAACCAAGAAGAGAGAGGTACTGTGGACACTGTGTGCTTTCTATGTGCAGACCATGGTGATTACAAAAGGAGAAACATGATGAGTTTGAAGGTTCAAGCTCTTTTATATGATCCATAGAGCAAGAACTTCATACCATGTGGTGCAGGGAATACAATATGTGTAGCAGTTTATTAAGGTCTGGCTACATCTACATCTTTCTCAGAAGAAACTTTATATACAGTTTCTTCTGAGGTGTGAAACTTGTAGATTATGGAAAGAATTTAGTAGGAGCAAGCTACAGAAAAGGGTTGTCTCTCATCAAACTGAAAGACATACTAAGTACCTGTAGAGTAGCTGTAGTGTCTTCCTACAACTGCGATTCTGGTTAACTCTCACAATGCCCCTGTGAGACAGGACTATGCTCAGAAGTCCTAAACTGGAATGCATTTTAAAACCACTCATTGTTATTATTCCTTTCATTTAATGACTGGTTATGACTCAAAACAAAGGGGACAAATTATCTCTGCTCTAGGCTCAAAAACTTGTAAAGGGATTACTAAGACAAAAATAGCGGAGTGTAATGGCACACTTAGACAGATTTCCATAAGACTTACAAGGTACACCACCCTGTCAGTTGTAGTCACCTTAAATAATCCTAATAGGACAGGAAATGAATCAGAAGACACTTCAATTAGCCCAATTCTACGCATCCTGTATTATTTCCATCTATCAAAATTTTAGTCAAACTTTTCTAACAGAAGTTTCACCTATTGGAGAGCTTTGTACAGTGTGGAGGAAGTCTATGAAACTCTAATTTGCTTTTATGCAAAATAGTCTATGTTTCTATGGCTGGTGATACATAGAGAAATTCAGGGAAGAGCAGCCTTAGAGGTTGTTCACTTTAGAAGACTAAATCATAATCCTAGAAGAAAGCAGAATATTGTACCTATTCTTATCCCAAAACATCCATATAGCGCAAAGGATAAGATGCCTCCTAACATCAAGAGATATAATGATTTCTTTATTTTCCAGAATGCTCTTAAAAATGTGCAATTGCAATCTTTTGATGTAGACCTAGTTATTCTTTTGTGCATTTGATATATGTTTGGCCCAAAATGTTTGCCGTCTCCTCTAGAGGAATGCTATGTCTTACCTCATGTTATCATACCCTCCCAGGGCATCTTTAACCCCCAGTCGGAAGCAGTTTCTCTCATATTAAGGGGAATGCATACACACAGAGGTACTAAGATATATTTTCTGATCCTTAAGTGAATGAAAAGTAAAACAATAGAAGGGAGTTAATCTACAGGAAGATTATAGTAAACTTCAAATTTATATCATCCCTTTGAAAATGAAATTTACTTTCCTATGCAAAGAATTCTAGAATACTGATTTCTACAGAAAACTGAACACCTACAGGTACATTATCTCTCTCGTAGTGTGTGGGTCAAATTCTCCTCTTATGCTCCTGTTTCTCCTGCTTATGCTCTGAGTGTCAGTCTTCTAACAGAAGCTGAAGGCTTGGCATAGATGATTCAATTAATTATCACTCAGACAATATAATGCAGAAACCTAAAATGTAGTTGTTTTACATAAGCCATAGAGAGTTGGACAAGTACATCTATCTTCTGGGAAAATGTTGTGGTTTTCTTATCTTAAACATCTGATAAAAAATTTGTGTTCTACTACTAACAGGAATATTCTGTCATCCTCAGTTCCATGGTCCTACATAGATGACAAACTTATTCCAGTATCTAAAATGTTTTTCTTGTACTTCCCACTGGTACTCAAAAGCTGTTCTCTGTAGGATATATTTTTTACTTTTTTCCCAAAACTCTGTATTGTCAAACTGTGTAAATCCAAACCTGCATTTTCAAAATAAATTCCACTTTGTAATTCTGAATAGCATAGGTGAGAATAGTTTGTTAATACTCTCCCAGGAAACAGTGTGAATGATGCTTATAAAAAAAATGTGTTTATGGCAATTAACTACTTCTTTCTATCTTTCTCAGGCACGCCAGATCTTGGACCTAACACCTGTGAAGGAGCTGGTGAGCCTGAAGTGGAATATGTATGGTCGTCCCTATTTCTGTTTCCTGGCTTTATTCTATATACTCTACATGGTCTGCTTCACTATGTGCTGCGTCTACCGACCTCTGAAACCCCGAACGGGCAACAAAACAAGCAGCAGAGACAATACAGTCTATGTCCAGAAAATGCTGCAGGTACTGTGACTGTAGGAGTCAGGGCCCCATAGGCAGCATTGGGCAATTCCCACATAACCTACTTAACTGGAAAGTTCAAGCCATTCCCAGTCCTCACATATTACAGCTGTCCTTGTACTCTCTTTCGGCCAGCTGACCGTTGTCAGGGAGGAATATGAGATGTGCTCTGTTCTCCATTGTGGAGCTGGGCTGGTTCCTGTGGCATTGCCAGGTCTAGTCATGTTTATTGTAGTAACAGTAGTCTGCCTTCATCCCTATCCTCTTTTTAAATTTACTTTCACTTTCTTTAAAATTTATTTTTAATTTCCATTTCCTTTTTTTTTTTTCCCCAGGAATCTTATGTGGCATATGAGGATGAGCTGAGGCTGGTGGGGGAGCTGATCACAGTCATTGGAGCTGTAGTAATTTTGGTCCTTGAGGTAAGAGAAATGGTGAGCTGCATAGTTTCAAGTTTTGTCAAGACAAATCCTGCTTGTTATACTAACATGGATTTGTGCTCACCAGTTGGTAAGGGTATTTGCTTACTCTTAGGTAAATGGCAATAGACATTGTCAGCAGTATCTATTAGATGAGACAGAGACTGTGACAATGTCCTAGTAAGACTCCATGTGCCGAAGAAGCAATTAGAAGGACTGGTCATACTCTCAAATACTATATGCAGGGGAGTGCCACAGTTCCTGTTAGCACCATCTGTGGGTCCAGCTGACTCCCAGATGTTACTTCATCCAGCTCCCCTAAATACTCACATATTTAGGGGTGCTGGATGAAGTGAATTCTGTGTGTACACAGAAAAGTTTATATTTAATTGGAGATCATTTACTCTATGGACCTGTAACAGCAGCCTTTCTCAACCAGAGTTCTGAGGTGAACGTATTTAGTTGTTCTCCTTACTATGAACTCTCCAAAAAACAACAAAAAAAGTGAAAGTTATTTAAATTAGAACAAACCTATTCCCCATGTGATTTTACTATAATATGAAATAGAAGACTGAAACTTGTATGAGAAATCTCAGAGGATGATGCCAAGAAGGACTGAAAATAAAACAGGTGTTGTAAGCAGCTTTCTGCCTATGGGGTACATTAGGCAAGGCATCACCAGCCAGTCAAAAAAGGTGGTTGTTCCACTTTACTCTGCACTGGTGCATCTCCACCTCGTGTATTATGTGCAGTTTTGGCCACCTCAATATAAAATAGACATTAAGCTATTAGAGGGTGTCCAAAGGAGGGCCATGGGGATGGTGAAAATCTGAAAGGGAAGCCGTATGAGGAGAGGCTGAGTTCACTTGGTCTGTTCAGTCTGGAGAAGAGGAGATTGACGGGAGACCTCACTGGGGTCTTCAACATCCTCCTGAGGGGAAGCAGAGGGGTAGGTACAGATCTCTTCACTCTCAAGGTGAATGACAGGACTCGAAGAAACAGCATGAAGCTGAGTCAGGGGAGGTTTAGATTAGATGTTAGGAAAAAGTTTTTCACCCAGAGGGTGGTTGGGCACTGGAACAGGCTCCCGAGGGAAATGGTCACAGCACCAAGCCTTTCTGAGATCAAGAATTGTTTAGACAACACTCTCAAGCACATGCTGTGACTCTTGGGGATGTCCTGTAAAGGGCTAAGAGCTGGAGTTGATGACCCTTGTGGGTCCCTTCCAACCCAGGATATTTTACTACCCTATGTTCCAGAAGGACAAGTCCATCTTCCTATGTTTGGTCAGGACCCTGGGGCTAGGCTGCAGCTTACACAGTGTGAATAACAACAGACTCCTTTGATTCCCCTAGAAGGTCTTTTTATCTCCATTATTGGGGCACGGCACCTCTCTGCGACATGTCTCTTAATGTGCCCAAGTATTTATCCAGCAACCTCTGTCTCATCCCAAGAAGGGCCCACCAGCCTCAACCATTCTGATTTTAAAGTAACAAAGAAATCAATCTGTTAACCATCAAAAAAAGCAGATGCAGCTGTCCCCAGGAACCTCTGAATGTATGTGGTTACCATGACATTTAGTAATATGATGGAATCTGAGTCCTAAAGTTAATAGGATGTCTCTCTTAGATCCCAGATATCCTTAGAGTTGGAGCAGCGAAATACTTTGGACAAACAATCCTAGGAGGTCCTTTCCACATAATTGTGTAAGTACAGCACTTTTTAAGTCCAGTAAATATATTTTGTCCCATTTCCCCCACTGCTGTCTTTTGCCAGATGAGTCACTTTCTCCATTCTTTTAGCGTATTCCTTATCTTATTTCTCTTACTGGTTCAACTGAATCTTCCTCCACTGAACTTTTTTTCACTGTTTCTTCTTTGCAGCATCACATATGCTTGCATGATTCTAGTAACCATGGTGATGCGTCTCACCAGCACCACTGGAGAGGTGGTGCCCATGTCCTTTGCCCTGGTGCTAGGATGGTGCAATGTCATGTACTTCGCACGAGGCTTCCAGATGCTTGGGCCTTTTACCATCATGATCCAGAAGGTATAAGACACAAACAAATACAGACTTTTTACACATGTCCTGACACCTCTTTTAGGATAGGAAGAACTGTAAGAATACTTTTTCTCTCTCGGGACTAGAATTAATGGCAAACAGGCAAGTTCTTGTCTGCACAGAGGGTTTAGGACTTTCACATTCTCTCTTTGGTTCAGAAGTTTCCTTTAGTTCGCTCATGGTCTTAGAATCTGGGAAAATGTTTACATAGGGTTGCACTGCAACTTGGTGGGACAGTTGGGCCTTATGGTGGCTCTGTCTTTTCTCTACAGATGATATTTGGAGATCTTATGCGCTTTTGCTGGCTCATGGCTGTGGTGATATTAGGCTTTGCATCAGGTGAGTCTACAAAAGAAAAAACAGCAATATGTTACCCCTGACAACTGCTTTGGTATGAATTAAGAGTGTGGATTTTGATTTAATCTCTGGTTGCCCTCTGAAAAGCTGGCAAAGGTGGTGATGATATATAGCTTCTATTTCTCTAAGTGTGGTCACTTTCCCAATACTAATTTCTGTTCTCATGAGTTTGGTTTTCAATTCTTGCTCCTTCCAGGGTAATAGAAATAGGATAATTCAGATAATCCCACATATGTGTAAGTCCAGGTTTAAAAACATACTGCATTTCTGATACTTGTCTGTGGAAAATGAGATTAACACACATAGCTTTATTATCCTTGAGGAAGTTAAGTTCACTAATTTGAGAATAAATAAACAATCAAAGTAATTTTGGGTCATTTTATAGTAGAAACCAGTGATTCTATAGAGGGATTTGTCCTTGCTGGGTTCTGTACTAGCATAGAAACACATGCAGCTCCTTCCCAGTCCACTTTTTGTTGTCACAATCTCCTACAGGACCCTGTTGTTTCTCTTGGAATGTGATTCCTGTTGTTAAACTCTCTTTTTCCCTCATTGCTCTCCTCTAGCTTTTTACATCATCTTCCAGACAGAGAATCCTGAAAACCTTGGGCAATTCTACAACTATCCCATGTCCTTGTTCACCACTTTTGAGCTGTTCCTCACTATCATTGATGGCCCTGCAAACTATGATGTGGACCTGCCTTTTATGTACAGCGTGGTATACTTTGCTTTTGCCATCATTGCTGCCCTCCTTATGCTCAACTTGTTAATTGCCATGATGGGTGATACCCACTGGAGAGTGGCCCATGAGCAGGATGAGCTCTGGAGAGCCCAGGTAATCTAGTTAAGGCTGGCATTCCTACCTTATTTCAAATAACAGCTAGAAACCCATCAGCCTCTCTTGTGCATTTTGTGTCTCCCTAGCTCTTTGTTCCCTGCATGCAGAATCTCTTATTAAATAGAATTAAAGTGATGTCTTTTTTTGCAAATAACACTTCTGTGTAACTGAGTTAAATTATAATTATAGAGATTGACCGAGGGGGGATAGAATGCAAGGTAATGATTGCATGAAGGTTAGCGATGTCTTAAGATCTATTAAGAGAAGTTGGCCTGAATCTCTTGCTCAGAAAGCAAAAAAATTCAACCAGTTCTATAAGGTAATCAACAGGAAATCCATTTCCTAGTACTCTTCTGTGAGAAAGCAATCAGTCAAATGGTTAAATGTAGTCATGTGGCCACATTGGTAAGTTGTGGTGAGTTAATGTGAGTATAGATACTGTCCTCTTCTCTTGCAAATTGATTGCAAATTGATTGCAAATTGATTATCCTACTCATTGTCATCAATCATAAAAGAAAAGAAATTTAACACTGTTTTAAGGCCACCATTGCTTCCACAAAACATGGCGCAGTTAGACCTAAAATAGTGATTGCCCTATAATAAATGGAGTATTGACTCTACTATTTTTTTCATTACATAGGGAACTGGTAATGAAGTATGGTTTGGGTCAGTGCTCACAAAACTGATAATTTTGAAAGAGAGTCAGATTTTTTTCTAATTTGTTTAAGTTCTTTCTTTTTTTTCATTCCAAAGGTTGTCGCTACTACTGTCATGCTGGAGCGGAAACTGCCAAGGTGTCTCTGGCCTCGCTCGGGAATCTGTGGTCGGGAATATGGGTTAGGGGACCGATGGTATCTCAGGTGAGTTCTCTTCTAGTGTGTGCATGTGAGGATCTAAGAAGAAGAATCCAATGTATGGGTGTTAATAAAGAGCCTTTTCAATGGCCTGGGGAGGAGTGTTTGGAGAGCTTTCCTTACAGAATACAGACCCCAATCTGTTTTCTGTCTGTGACTGGTAGGCAAACACTGTTCCCCTCAGAAAGCTCTGCTGTGCACTTCTTTCTGAAATTTGATGATGCTTTCTTATCCAGTAGTTACATGGACAGACCCCAGAAACTGCATGAGTTGCAAGGCCTGAATTTTTCTTTCAAACTTACCATAATGAGTATCACAAAACTTCACTGGTGTGCTTGGTTGGCTGACCCTATCCATTAGATATATGAAATGGCAGAGTTAGAGTAAATCTATTAGGCATTCAACAGCAATGAACTGCTCTACAAATGATTCAAAATCAGAACTGGAATAATTAGAGTTAAGATTCTTTTCTCATGTGACTCTAGTAACTATATCATATTTTGCAACAACTACATCAGGTGGCAAAGTCTTATGTCCAGGATTTTGGATTAGGCACTGAACTAACAAGATATCTATAGTCTAGATAAAACTAAATTCCTCATTATTTTTGATTTTAATCAATATTTATGCCAGGTAAGAAATGATTTACCTTATGGGCATGTGTCTTTTCTAACTGCACCATCTTCTGCTGGTAAAGCCAGAAGGGGGAGTGGCGGCTGTATAAATCATAGAATAATAGGATATTCTGAGTTGAAAGGGACCCACAAGGATTATCACAGTCCAACTCCTGGCCCTGCACAGAACTTTCTGCAATTTTTGACAGAGAATTGAGCCTTGTAGATTTTCAGGTTTACTAGAAAGAACAAGCAAGACCTAAAATGATACCAGTATGCAACACCTTCAGACCAAGATGCAGAATAAAACAATGTATTGCAAGAGCAATTATGCACTGGATGATATGAGAAAAGAGTGTTGCTGTGAACTAGTTCTGTCAAATTACATGTATGTTCATTGTATTTAGCATGAGACAGTATTTCAGAAGACAGCTTATAAGTAATGTAGAGAAGGGTTGATGGGAGTGGAGTTTTAAAGTGCAGCAAAGAATAAGGGGCATCCTTATGTCTGACAGCCATGGAGGAAAGTCAAGAACAGAGGAAATAGATGAATATATGCCTATACACAAAGAGTCTGGAACTAGACTCAGGTGGGTTAAGTCTTCAAATTGCTTACAACTGGCATAATGGAAAGGGTAAATCATGATTGGGAAATAAGTTAAAGGACAAGAAACCATGGGCAGACAAAGGTACTGAAGTCAATGATGTGGATAAATGTCTAGGAGATAACTGTGCTAGCAGCCCCTAGCACCCTGCCTATAATCAGTTTTCTGTTTCTGTGCAGACTTTCTGGAAGATCAGCATGCCTGTTTTTGTGGAGGGGTTTTGTGGATAAACTGGTACTTTTGCACATTGTTCAGTTTACGTTTTTTAATCCTCTTACAGAGTTGAAGACAGGATTGATCCCAACAAACACAAGATGATGCGGTACACAGAAGCATTTAAGGCTCAGGATAGGGATAACTATGACAAAGGTTCCGAAAAGCTGGAAATCAACAGAGACATCCTGTATAAGAAGGAATTTTCTACTCTGTCATTGTCACGAAGCACATCCAGAACTAGTTCTCACCGTGGCTGGGAGATCCTGAGGCGCAACACTTTCCGCCAACTTTGTGGAGAGGTTGGTCATGCCACGGAGGAGGAGGTCTATGATGTCTAAGAAGCCTCTATTTTTACTCCACAAGATGAATCCCTTTTGCCACAATTGTCTTCTATAGCTGTTCATACACTCCCCAGAATGCTACACACATTTATCAGCCTTGAAGAACTCCACCGGTGAAGATTTCGTGAGCAGTTCATGGCATCTATGCTATGATATGTGAAAGCAGTCTTTTCTCTCCTACTTATAAGTGCCTCTGCAGTTGCACTGATATTTGCACCAAGCTGGTGGGCTTGTTGAGCTATATAATGCAAATGAGCAAGAGAAGCCAGCAATGAGATTTCATCCATTTATGAAAAAGTGATCATTAAGCCCTCTTCCAGATTGTTACATGCAGTATAATCTATCTCCCCAGTTTCACAAAATCACGATGCTCTCATAGCAAAGAAGGATGACTGGTTTATGATTTGGTACAGAGTTGGAAAAAGACCAACAACCAAACCCTGTAACTGAGCTCAGGAATAAAGGTAGTTGTTGATACTGTGATGATTAAAAAGGACTGTAAATACTCAGCAGGAATTCAGGGCCTGACAGATTTTGGCCTCTGAATAAAGGCAGTCTCTATTAACTGCATTTTCAACATTGCTATCTTAGCAGGACTGTTATCATTTTGGTTTGTGTTGCTTGTTTGGGTTCTTTATTGGTGATGGGGTTTTTGCTTGTTTCTTTGTTTGTTTTTGTCACATGAATGCACTTTAAGCTTTTGAAAAGAAGTGATTGCTATTCCTGATTGCTATTCCTGAGAGGATTCTGAAGTGGGAACTTCTTTTCCTATTAAGAGCATGTATGACCTGGTTAGGTAACTTTCAGCAGTGTGAAATTTCAGCAGAGATATTTATCTCCCAAGTGAGCTAAAGCTGGTCTTTTGTTTTCTGTGGAAGAGTAGGTTTATGATTCAGACTGAGACATCGAGGCTGGGTAGTGAGCTCTCTATAACACAGAAAGAAACAGTGAGGAAATGTTGGATAGATGAATAATAGCTATTGCAGAGGCAGTTCAGAAGCTGATGTGCACTCGCTCTGTCTCTCTGAAAGTCTGAAACTATCCAATGAAAAACTGAGTCACCCACGCTGTTCCCTTCCAGGCATGACACTGTGCCAGTCTGTCAATTTGTCTTCTGCCTAAGGACACTTTAAGAAAAATGAAGAAATGTAAGAAATGATCCGAGAAATGGACAGTCATTTCAGGTTCTTTTGTATTCTCAGGAGTGCAGAGTTTCAATCCAGTAGCAGAAATTGAGAAGAAAGCAATCCAAGGTCTTTACATTTCCTTCCAACAGGGCTAGTAACAGCAACTTTGTTTTTTAAGAAATCAAGGACTATTACCTAACACTAGACTTTGAGCCAAATCATTGTGTGATAATCAAAGAAGATAATGAAAAAGCTGAATCCAGTGGATTTCTAATTATATTGAAATATCAAACATCTCCTCTCTTGCAGGTGCTGTGACGAGTATAATGATCTTTACAATTATGTATATTTATTTAAATATCCTCTTTCTCTTACTTGAATGTGAACTTTTTTTTGTGCTGTAATGGAAGACTGACAGAAGACTGTCCCTCCGGAATTCAACTGTATACTTTTGAGTTGACTCTTTTTATTGAATTGAAGCTATTGCCTAGTCTTGGTCACTTAAGTCCTTTTACATTTATACTGCTGGTCTGTGGAGATGGAATAGATGTAGCCAATTAACCAGAACTGTGAAGTGTTGCTCTGATTTTAGATTAATTTTTTTTTCATAGTGAATTAGAAACAACAAGAAGGAGAGGACTGATGATTTCTCCATCCTACCCCTGCCCCCAAGTATAGTAGACTTTTTACTAGTTTGAAAACCACAGAAATACAATAGAGATGGAGCCACATATTGTCATTTCTACAAAAGAACTCATCTTTGTGACATAATAATAATAATAATAAGGGTAGTTTGAAGTACAAGATGTATAAGCCCTGGTTCTGATTTTGTGTTCTTCTTCATTGCTATAAACAATGAGAAATTTTATCTTAGAAATTAAAACAACATTTTGACATTGCAGGAGGCAGAACAAAATTCATTTACCAGTGCTAGGCCTTTCATAATTTCTGTATCTGCTCTCCATAAAAAGAAAAGAAAAAATCCAGTAGCAGATTTTTTCAAGGAGGTACCTTCTCTTGTAAAATTACATTCCGTGACAGTTAGCTTTCAAGCTCCTTGCACAGAACCCATGCATATAACAGCATCAGAACTGTGTGATTTATTTTCTGTCTTTAGAGTTGCCTAATGCAAATAAGATAGAGAATCATAGAATCATAAAATAGTTTGGGTTGGAAGGGACCTTTAAAGGTCATGTAGTCCAGAAACTGAGGAGGGACATCTTCAACTGAGTCAGGTTGCTCAGAACCCTGTCCAACCCGACCTTGAATGTTTCCAGAGGTGGGGCATCCACCACCTCTCTGGGAAACCTGTTTCAGTATTTCACCATACACACTGTAAAAAATTTCTTACTGGCTCCTACTGGAATTTGACTTCCAGTTTCCTGACATGACTTGCATATTAAAAAAAAATCCTAGAAAAAACCTTATACAAAAGGGGGCAGAATATTTTACCGATAGGAAATTGATTCCTCAGTATTTTGTTGATGATCAGTGGTGCAGACCATTTTTAGCATAGTTTATTTATCTGGAAGATAAACAGCTACAGAAGAAAATTTGAAGTGGGAAAATTCAGCAGATGTAAGGGCACACCAGAAGATGGAAATATTAAATTTAATATGTAAATGTGGAATACCTACCCTCCTTCATTAGGACACATATACCTGAAGTGTGACCATGTGAACCTCAGGTGATGAGGTAATGGGAGGCAGCAGACTAACCTTTGAGCAGTTTCAAAGCAATCTGGCTCTGACACAGAAATAGCAGTGACTATAGTCACACAAAGACAAAACACTTTCGCTGTAAGGTTCCGCATGAATGTGATGCTTACAGGTTTGCTTCAAATTTGTGTTTTGTGATGTAGTTATAACTATGATTCTGAAACAGTATTGCTGCTCCTTGCTGTTGCAAGGTGTCTTTTCTCTCCCTCCTAACAATATTGCAACAATTTCAAAGCAGGCATTCCTCCCGTCCTTGAAACTGCTAACTTCAAACTGTCTTCTACATCACTGAACTAACTTCTGAGTTTATGATAATGTGATAAGAATGAATGTTTTGATCCAGTTGCTTGTAGTAAGATGAGATCTATTTTGCTGACAATAAAAACATGGAGTATCTGACTGCTTCTTTGTCTAAAATAAATATCATGAGTCAGTTTTTGTGTTGCTTCTCTAACAGCAATCATAGACATTAGCTAACAAATTGTTAGGATTGTCACATATAGGTCCATGTTAAATTTTTTTAATGAAAGTTTTTGTTCCACAGCAATCCACTTCAGATATTTCTTTATACAAAATTTGCAAAGAGTTTCATTACCGATTTTCAGTTCAAACTATGAAATATCAAGGCCCTGTTCTTAAAAGTCATTGAGTGTTTAGTGAAAACCGCAATTCAAGCTCTTTGGAGAAGAAACTGTATTTTCATGTTTTTGAAAATGTATTGGACAGTGAGGCAACTGTCCTTGCTATGGCTGCTTGCAGTAAAATACTCATATGTACAGAGTTTTCTTAGTAATACACATGTAAAAGAGATATAGATATCCAAGCTTTATAATGGACCAGTGTATAATCATGGCTCACTGAATTTGATGTTTACACAATCTCTTTAAATTATTACTATGATTTAAGTTGATTTTTGAAAGTTTCCTAAATGGGAATAAACCAATTCAACAAATACTTGGTTCATAGAAGATTAAGGTAATACTTACAACCTATAACTTTTAAGAAGAAGGTTATTTTTATTTCTGAAATCACAACATTTTAATCAAGCTCTCTCAACCGTGCACAGAGAACTCTTTGGCAAGAGTTCTGTCCTGCCTTAGCCTACAATCTAAGACAAGAAGCTAGTGAAGGTGCAAGCAAGCATCTGTGAGATGGGCCATATGATAACCCGTTAGTCTTGGTGCTGTTTTATGCTTGGTCGATAACTGCAAAGTATGTAAGATCTGCTGCTATTTTTTCCTCTCTGCTGCTCCAACAGAAGCATGCTTTACAATCATCCCTCTGCAGACATGAAAACCTTGTCCTTAGAACACCTTCCTACTCATGAATCAAATACATTTGTTGGCTAAAGTTCTCTTTTTGTTGCTATTAACTGAGACTGTATGTCGGAAAGAAGCAGGACTGGGAAAGAAAATACTACTGTGTTCCATAAGCTCAACCAGCCTATAGTATCAGAAAAAATGATTTTTTAAAAACTGAGAAGTTCTAAGTTATTCTAGGAATTTTAATGCAAAATATAAATACATTAAAGCTTTTAGGGGAACAATATATGCAACACATTCTAATAAACTATATTAGTTGTATAGTCAACCTGGAGGGACAGCCACTTGGCAAAACCATGCTGTGCATTGATGACCCGCTTCTGTCTGGGACATGGAGGGAAAGCTGAAAAGAATGTGGTCACTTCCTAGAATTTCCAGGGACATAGCTGGGCAAACAATTAGTTTTCTTGCACTTGAATTGAAAGATAACAAAGTGACAAGAATAGGTTTTAAGGAGGTACAAGGCAGAGGCGACTCCATCTATGCCCCTTCTGCACATAGATGTACTGCTTCCACATATTGTCTTTTATGACAGACACGAAACAGAATCTAATGGACTCAGATAAGAGTTAGTTCTTTTTTTAAGGTCATGGTACTGTTAGTTTGCTTCATCTCTTGGGGGAAGTGCCTTGGACTGTTGAAGCAATAGAGACTGGCTCCCTCTAATTTGATACTCTGGGGATACAGCTGAGATGCTCGAGAACACCGGTATGCTTTTTCCTTCTATGTCTCAATGCTTGGAATGGGCCTCCCACTGGTAAGACTATGATATTCCACATATGAAATAATCAGGAATGGATCATAAATGTCGATGTGCAAAAGGTCACCTTCATGGCATTGTGTCAACAGCTGGCACCGGCTGTGGACAGCCTGCACACACATATCTGGGTTTCCATCTTAATTCTAAAGCAACTGACCTTTAACAAACACTAATCTCACCAGGGAGTGGCTGATGGAAGGAGTGGCTCATCAGACACCAGATGGTGATCCTAGTTTTCTTCTGGTCTTAAAGCGTATAAGTTTCAACAGACTCATGGTCTGGTGGAACCTATGCTGAAAGAAGACATATAGTCAGTCCAGGTTTTTTTGGATTGTTAGCCACTACCTTTTCACAAGAAACCTGGATGCTTTCATTCTATTCTCTGTGAAGGGCAAAGATAAAATATTTTGAAATGCTTTTTATATACTGTAGCAATGTATTCTCACCTCTTCATCACTTCAAAGAGGAGTTGCCATTTAAGGCTTTGTTCAACATTCTTCCTTCAAGTTTATTTGATCTATAGCCTTGAACACTGCTCAGGTAAAGCAAGAATCAGGGCAAGTGATTTTTGAGTTGTTTTTAAGAGGAATTTCTGATATCCAATAGCTGGTGAGCTGGGTACTAGGAGAGTCTGAGGGAGCATTCCCTTGGATAACTATAAATGCAACTGCCATGGTGTTTCTCTTTTTGATGGAACAATCAGTACAGAGCAGATGATCTAGTGTCAGAACTACCTCCTCATAATACAAAATAGGCAAGCTATTTAAACTCAAATATATGCTAAAAAGTGAAGGCATTTTTGAACTATAGCGCAATTCTTCACTATTGAAAGAAAAAGGATTAAGTGATAGGAACTCTGTAATTTCTTAGGAAGATCTATTCTAAAAACCTTTCCTCACCAATGTTTTCCAAAGATTAAGTCCAAAGACTCAAGTCCAAAGACTCAGGCATATAATTGAATGCTAAAGTAATAAAATCTCTATATTTAATTATGTCTGCTTGTGAGCCACTAGCTTTCCTATTGACTGGACAGAGGATTTTGCTAATACCTAATTAAATAGATTCTTTAATTTACAACAATTTTCTCTGTGTTGTTGGCCATAAATGTTCTGACACCCCTTCTATGTTAAGAAATGCTTCCTCTAGATGTATACGTATCTTCATATTTAAAACTTGTGTCTCTGGATTTTCTCTAGAAGGAAGAAAGGAAGGTAGGAAGGAAGGAAGGAAGGAAGGAAGGAAGGAAGGAAGGAAGGAAGGAAGGAAGGAGGGAGGGAAGGAAGGAGTAATCTTTATTTTTAATGGTAATTGCATAGCAGCTTCAAAAGTGTTTTGAGAACTACAGAGTACCACTGGACTTTACAAAAGTTCAGGCAATTCCCAAAGTATTTTCTTTTTTGTAGGCATGTATGAAGAGTATGCAAATAAGATACAGAAGTATGTGAGATAACTAGGTACTTAGTGCAGGTTGCTTTAAATCATTCCCCTGGGTCTTCACATTACTTAATGAGACATCTGTGCTGAGTTTGGAAATTTGGGAACTGGGCTCTTGTTTTATATCATTACTGCACTGACTAATTTTGGGGTTTCTCCCATACTGGTATCTTCTGCTGTCATTTAGCCATCTAGTCTTCCTGCATAATAATATAGAGAAAATTTGAATGTGCCGGTTTTGATTGGGATAGAGTTTGTTTTCTTCATAATAGCTTGTATGGTAGTGTGTTTTAAATTTGCGATTAAAACAGTGTTGACAATACAGGCATGTTTTAGCCATTGTTGGCTGGTGCTTGTACAGTATCAAGGCCTTTTCTGCTTCTCACACTTCCCCACCAACAAGTAGGCTGGGGGTGCACAAAAAGCTGAGAGGGTACACAGCTGGGACAATTGACTAGAAGGATATTCCAGACATTATGATGTTGTGCTCAGCAATAAAAGCTGAGGGGACATCTGTCTTTCCAAAGAAATTGTTACATGTGGTTAGTCTATTTCTATTAATTTTGATCACATCAAACACACACCCACATACACACAAGTGGGAATTTCTTGTTTGCAACCATTGAGCATTTTCTTCACTTACCAACATCACTATGCACACAAATAACTCTTTCCTGTTTGTATTTGCCACCTACATGCACATTTCACCTTTGAAACTGGGAAAGCCCTGTGATGCAAGAAAAATAAGGTTAACAATGGTGTGAGTCCTGTTTGACTAGTTCTACATGCCAATAAATAAAACAAAATACATCAAGGAGTAGAGAGTTTTTAAAAATTGATTAGAAGGAACGCGAATGCATGAAACAAATCCACTAACCACTATTTAGTCTTTCTGTGAGTGATGTTTCATGCATTGTTTTGGCACTGAAAAGTCAGAAGAAAAGAAAAACTAGTCAGAGCT